ATGGCAGTGCTGCGGTCTGCATTTTGCGCATGTGCAATGTTTACCTATATCTGTTGGTTAGCCACAGGTGCCATCACGTAAACTTTTGCCCATATTAATATTGGCACTGATAATATTATCAAAGTTGATGCAAAATCTGTTTTCACATCGAAAAATTAATGTTGGTCGTATCCTTCCACTCCAGGGGGTGTATGGCAGGATTTTTCTGAGAAACAAAAGAATGTTTTTTTAGCTGCTATGCCTAACCGCTAATGTTTTCAGACATTTTAAATGATATGCACAGTTTTATGACTTCTCTTTATTTTCAGTTCACTAAATTTTTTTCCTTGATTTCTTTGGGAAATTGTTTAATTTACATTAAAGGTTTTTATTTTACGAATATCTTTTAAGTTTCCTTGGTTTTTTTCCCCTTCAACCTAACCATATCATAAGTATTTTGGCGATTATTTTTATGCTTTGAATTTTTTGCCAAATCATCAGGTTTGGCTGATATCTGAATCTGGTCACACCGAATTTTTCATGGACTATGGAATATCCTAAGAGTTTGGAGCAGACTGAAAAATGTCCAGATTTCAGAGGAGCAGAAACCTTAAATTTTACTTCCTAAAAATCCTCATATCTCAAATTTTAACTTCAGGCACTACCATTTGAAACATCTGCATGTTGATCAGCAGTTTCTGCAAGCTGTGTTAAGAAAGAAGTTTTGGATTATTTTTGCAACAGATATAATTAAGAATTTTGTACAAAAATTATAGCATAAGCTTCTCCAAACATCCTCACACTTCCGCAGCAAGTTACGAATGATATTCCAGGTTCTGTTGTTCTTCCATCTACTTTATTCCAAAATTTTAAGTTTGTGATTTTTCAGGACTCTTCGCTATTTAATACATTAAAGTAAGAGAGCTTTACTACAGAATGTTACATTTGTGTCCCTCATAACAAAGGCACTTCACATCCAAATTAAAAATCTTTCACTAAAAGCCTTTACAGCATACCTAAAATGACTGATTTCACACAGAGGAAAGCCATAAAATCTTCACAGTGACTGGTATGCAAACTTTTGTGCTGCAAATAAGGAAATTGCGACAGAAACTGCAATACTATGGATGGCTTAAATAATCTACAATTTCTAGCTTCTAAAAAAATAAAAAGATTATTTAATCTACTTTTGTTTTTTCCATTTTGGTGACCTTTGACAGAGTGGTTTGAAACATACAGCAAGTAACTTGCATATGAAGATCTTGAAACTTTCAGGATGAAATTCACAGCCATCTTAAACTGCAGACTGCCTTTGCGTTTTTCAAATAACCATAATGATCTTTCTGGTCTCACTTCGAGACATTTTAAGAGGACCCCGACTTTAGTGCATGAATAAAACTTTCTTGCTAACAACATCCAATAAATTATTTTGTGATAAAAAAAAATTATATGGTAACATATTTGGAAAAGGTGGTCTCTGAATATCTCTCAAAAACTGAAACCCAAACCCAAAGCATAAGGCTACAAAAATGAAGTCTAGCATTAGGAATGGAGACATAAATAAGCAGAGATTCATCTGGATTAACATATATTGAAATACAAAATCATTATAGACACAGTAAATGCTACATGGTAAAGTAAACAAGTGAGAACAACTGAAAACGTTGCCAAAAAAAACAAGAAATAAAAATCATGTTGCCACACGTTGCAAAATACAAGTGGGAAATATAATCACAAAATAAAGTTATTTGCAACACTCTCCCTTGATTCAATTTCCCTCAGTCCTACACTGAACCTTTGATTGAACAAGGCTTTCTTTTGCACACTCTATGTCAACATGTCTGCTGCATTTGAACTAGAAGGCACATAGGTAAAGTTCATCAACTTCTCTCTCAAGAAAAAATGCCTGAGTTCAATATGTTTGTTATGCTCTAAAGTGACATAGTTTTTAGCTAAAGAAATGGCACCCTGATTATCAACAAATAAGTTTTGTGGAAAATTAAAAAAATTTTGGAGCCACAGTACTTCCTTGGCTGCATGGCACATCGAGAAGTACTCAGCTTCAACTGTTGACAATGAAGTCATCTGTTGTTTCTTACTGCTCCATGAGACAGCTCCACCTGCTAGTAATAACACATGGCCACTAAATGATCGTCTAATCAATTTTATCACCAGCCCAATCAGAATCACAGAACACTTCCAAATCCTTTCCAGTCTTTTGGAAAGTCAGCTTTAATTCCTTGGTCTGTTTTAGGTAACGAAGGATATGTTGTATGCCATCCCAATGTTCCTTGCTTGGGCAATTATTGAATTGGCTCATGTTAAATAGTAGCAAAAGCTAAATCTGGCCTTGTTCCTCCTGTTAGGTACAAGAGCTCTCCAACAGCCTGCCTATATTTTAATGCTCTTTCAGCATTCAACATGTTATCCTTAGTGGCTGATACATATTTCATACCTGGATCTAATGGTGTTGATGCTCCTTTAGCGTCTTGCATATTAGTTGTTTCCAAGAGTTCACTAGCATAGACACTTTGGTCAAGAGTCACACAGCCATCTTCCTTTCTGCTTATCCTAACTGAAAGAAGGTGATGCACTTCTCCCAAGTCCTTGATTTTTAATGTGGCTGCAATAGTGTCCTTAAATTCCTGAATGATGAAATCTTTGCTGGACATTACAAGGAGATCATACCTATACACACCTACAATTAACTCCTTTTCTTATTGAAGAAAACACAAGGATCTGCTCTGAATCTTGTTAGGTTCGCTGATTTCAGAAATTTATCGAGGCAGATATTCCACTCTCTCCCAGACTGATGAAGTCCATAAAGGCTTCTCTTTAGCAAGCAAATGTCTATGTGTTTTCTCGTGCAGACTCACTGGTGGCTGTTCCAAGAAAATTGTCTCAATGAATTTTCCATTTAAATAGGCTCCAGTAATATCCAGTTGATGAACCTGCTAGTTTTGCTCAACTGAGAATGCTAATAAAGTTCTAATTGATTTTGTTTTTATTACAGGAGAAAATGTCTCTTTGTCGTCAATTCCTTCGACTTGGATGTAACGAGCAACTAAACGAATTTTATATCTTTCTACTTGTCCATCTTTGTTCAGTTTTCTCTTGAATACCCACTTACATTTCATGACATTCCTTTCTTCTGGCCTAGGCACAAAGTCCCAAGTTTCATTTTGTTTTAAATTTTCCAACTCTTCTTCCATGGCTAACTTCCATTTTTCTGCCTCTGGACTAGTTAATGCCTTTTCTAAAATTTCAGGATCATTCTGGAAAACTTTCTTGGGACAAGTTGCCAAATGTGTGCCCAACCTCTACAATCCTCAGAAGTGTATAACCATGACAGGTGATTATTCTGAAGGCAATAAGCTGTATTCCTGGAAGTAAATCATGAAAGCAATTATTTACTGTATTAATTTCCTAAAACCAGGCTGAAATTCTTATAATGTAGCCTCAAACCGGAGCAATCTAAACACTCCCCTTTGACATTTTCCTAATGAGAAAACTCAGAGTGGTCATTTGTCCTCTCCATGAATGCAGTAAAATTTACATGTTTGTTGGACACTGTTTAAATGGTCTAGAATGGATTGCTATAGTTGTGATTTTTTCTATGTTTATTTCACTTTAATTTAAATAAACCTTTTATCCAATGTAATATTTATTTAGAGCAATATGCAATGTTTATATGACATTTACTATTTCTGATCAATCTCGGCAATAATTTGTGAATTTTATGACTTTGTTTTCACACTTTATTTATATTCGCATATTTTCTTATTAGAAATTAAAAAACAAGAACAAAATTTTACAAAATCTAATAAATATGAACTAGCTTTTTAGGTCTGCAGGTTGGCATGCAGTTTTTTGATGGTCTATTTTCATTAACAAAATAATAGTAATGAATAATTTAATTAAATAATAATAAATTTATTAATAATATTCATTACTATTAGATGATTCAAATAAGATTTATTATAATTAGATTTTCAGATGAACTTACAGCAATAATAAAGTTTTAAATCTGCTTTTCTCCATAATTTTGTTATTATAATATAAAAAAGAAAATTGGGCATATATTGGTCGTGCTTGATCATTTAAGTTTAACAAATATTACATTGGACTATCTGGCACAGGAGGTATAGCTTTATGGAGAATTTTCTTTGTAAAATTGGCTTTTGTTTATGTTAACAGGGGGAAAAAAGTCTGTGAACTATGCATGCAATCCGTTTTATACCTGTAGCATGAAGTCTGATGAGAATTCTTAAACTTTGAATTATTATGGTGCCAAAAGAGGGAGAAAATGAACTTCTAAGCTTCATTTTAATATTTACTAAAGAAAATTAATTTAAGAGAAAATTGCTAAAGAGAATTTTAATCTATGATTTAAAATTTTAGAAAATATGAATTCATCAAAAGTACTTTTCAGAGCAGTTTTAAATGTTTATGAAGAATTATATGTCAATTTCCTTTCATAGGCCGATTTCGTGTAAAATCATTGTTATATCCAAAGGTTGAAGTTTGCCCAATTTTAAATGAGATGGATGTATACACGTTTTACAAAATAAATTTTCTAATTTATTTTAAAGAGAGTAATCTCTCACATTTTCACAAGAATAAGGGCATACTGGGTGTTTACACTTACAATATAGTAAATCTGTTCTTCATATTTCTTCCAGTGATTAAAATAATTACAGTGGAATATTTTTAAAGCAAAATTAAGAAAACTGTTTATGCCAAATTTTTCATAAAGTATCCTTTCATGTATTTTTTACTTAAAGTGCGAAATTTTCTTTTTGAAAAAATAAAAAATCATGAATGGAACAAAAAAAAAAAAAAAAAAAAAAAAAAAAACATGAGAAATAACTTTGAAGTGCAAAAATTCCATCATAATATGAAATACTGTAGAAAAGTGCAATAAAGTTTAATCACAAATAATCACCTCAGATGCCAGTAATTTATGTACTGTCAATTGAGAAATATAGGTTAGTAAATTAAAACGGTTATTTTAATAATTTTTCTATATCAATATTTTACAGTCTCTTCAGCAGCAGAGCAGTAAAGGTGGCTGAACATTTGTAGCTTGCTCGGGTTTGAATTCCAGCAAAAGGGTTGGATTCATGGGCATAATCATGGTTTTCACAATGTGTAACGTAGATACAAGCCAGTTTTCCTTAGAAAGTCCTCCACAAAGGCATCCCTCTAATTATACAAATAGCTGTTGTGTGCTTTGACTTAATTCAGTAAGCGAACCAAATCAATTTAATCAAATCCTGGAGAATGGGCTGATTACATATGGAATTTTCCATAAAGAACCTAAATCGGAGCAATTTTCTGTTTAAGCATCCATCCCTGTCTGAAAGCATCCATTCCCTTAACCAGATAGCGTTCATGTGCTTTTCTGTAATCCAATATATTTAATTATGAGTTGACATTAACAGGGTATTCCACAAAGGGCGCCCTTTTTTAAAATTAAATAACTCGAAAACAAATATCGATAGAAGAATGAAACAAAAGGTACATTTATTGGGACAGCTGTAAAAAATCTGTATAGAAGTTTCATATTTAGTTACAAAAGTCATCAATAGGTGGCAATGTATGCTGTATTACCATGAAGAGTCCCTATAAAGAGTGATCTGAAGTCCAGAGCGATTAGAGTACGGAGAGTTCCACTGTTTAAACATGAAAAGACTAGGATATCAAAGGATGTGCATGAAATCATGTATTCCATGGAATAATGTGTTTTGCTGGTACTGGAATTTCACAGGTCAAATTACAGTCCTACGGCAACAAGGCACAGTTTTCAATCCTGATTTAACGTTGATAAAAGTCCTGATTTGAAAACAATTCATGTGTTTTTTGATAAATTTCAATGAACAGGAAGTGTGGCTGATGATGGTCCCAGACACTCCGTAATTATTCCTGAAAATGTCACGGCAGTTTCTACACTTATTCAGCAAAATCCAAGGAATTCTATCTCAAGACTTGCAGTAGAATACGTCTTAATGTGATCCAGCATGCACAGAATACTGAGAAATAGGCTACACATGTTTCCATTCAAGATCCAGTGTCATCAACTATTCCCGTTTCAGCTGTGTAACATACAGAAGGTTTGCGAACGAAATGCTTACAATGATTGATGATGATGGATTGGATGTTGGCTGCATATGAACAGATGCTGTACAGATCAAGCACATTTTCATCTGAATGGTGTCATGAACAAACAAAATTAGCGATTTCAGGGTACTGGAAACCCTCATTTATGTGAAGCAAAACCACTACATTCCTGAAAAGTTACTGTTTGGGCTGCAGTATCCAGGAAAGGTATTATTGGCCCCTTCTTGCGAGAAACAATCACTTCTGACCGTTATTTTGAAATGTTGGAACAATTTGTCGCCACATTGTTAGCACTGGAGGATCGACCAGGCACTTCGTGCGTGGTTCATGCAAGATGGGGCCCAACCACAGCTCACTGAACAGGTGTTTTAGTTCCTTGAGAGGAATAATTCGGGGATAGAGTTATTGCTTTGGGCTATTCCAAATTTACTGGAACAGGCATAGATTGTCCCCCATACTCACCCCTTGTGACTACTCTTTGTGGGGCACCTTGAAGGATACTGTCTTCCAGAAGAAGCCTGCACTACTGGACAAGCTTGAAGAGTCGATCTGTGAGGCATGTGCATCCATTTCCGTTGACACACCAAGGAGTAGTGATGGGCAACTTCGGTACGAGAGTAACGGGTACAGACAGACAAGTACCCGGTACAAAATACCCGTTACTCAAGTAACTGTTACTTTGAAAAGTACCGAAAACCGATTTCAAGTACTGAGTACCCAAGTAATGATTTGGAGTACCCTAGTAACGGTTTGCTGTACCGGAGTACCGAAATACACAGCTAACGATTTTGCGCACTGAAGGAACTCTGCATGTCACCAGATGTTTGATTTTATCTGTACAGAGTAAGATTTTGAATATCAGAAAACATGTCAACTACGGAAGTGTCTGAGGAGCAGGCAATCATGGACACAAGGAGCGCATATCACCATTTCGCAAATACAACCAGATACTACTGTCCTCGTACCAAAACCGAAGTGAGCTGAACCCTCATCAATCGTCCAGTAACGAATACCGAGAAGAGACGCATATTTTCGTTACAAAGTAGCGAATACCGAAAAGCATCCGTTTCGGTACAGAAGTAACGAATACCGAAAAGTACTCGTTTCAGTACAGAAGTAACGAATACCGAAAAGTACCCGTTTCGGTACAGAAGTAACGAATACCGAAAAGTACCGATTTCGGTACTGAAGTAACGGGTACTTGGACGTACCGATTTTCAGTACCCGTTACAAAATACCCGGTTTGGTAGTACCGACTCATCACTACCAAGGAGGTGTGTGTGAAAATTTTGTTCTTCATTTACCCCACCTCTGTACTGTAAAAGGCGGACATTTTAAAAAGATTGTGATGCGATTGCAATGATGGCTTGCAAGGGACATGTTTTATGCCTTTTCTAGAATGTACTGCAACTACAGCGTCACTATTGGCAACTTTTGTATCTAAGGTGGAATTTCTGTATCAGATTTTTACAATTGTCCCAATAAACATGCCTTTTGTTTCATCTATCGATCTTTGTTTTCAAGTTATTTAGTTTTAAAAATGGGGGGAGGGGCTTTGTGGGACACCCTGTATCTTATTACAGACAAAATAACATTCCTTTTATAAACATTCCTTTTATAAACATTTTTTTTATTAACTTGTCTGAATTCCATTAATCTCTTGAGCAGTATACAAATTTAAGCATATTAAAACTGGCTGCAATTTTATGCAAAGTAACTGATGTTTTGATTCAATTTAGGAGTTACACAAGCTTTAACCCTTTCACCGTCCTCTTCTGTCTGGAAAAATTTCTCCTTAGTGGCCCGTTGTTTTTTGCAGCGTGTACTGTTGTTTTCTCTGTACATACATAACTTGCGTAGTGGATGAATTTAAATGAATATTAAGTAAAATTATAAGAAATAAAGCATAATGGAAAAGTAATAATATCTCTGCTTATTTCTAACAGCAGGATTAATTTGATAACATCTGATCCAGGCAGTTCACTCCTTCCATTTTGTTGTTGTAATCTTTTACAATTATTGGTTTTTTTTACAGTTCTTTTCCGTGTTTCAACATCAATCATAGAGTTATTGTGGACTGTACTTATCAAATGTATATCCTTCTTGTCTTTCCAATTCACAACCTCATTTATTCTCTTTTTCTACTGAGTAAATGTTGAAGATCTCCCACCGTCTTCTATAATATGTAAAATGGAGCAAATATTCATAAAACCCGGGGGGGGGAATTCAATTAGAAATAGAATGCCTGATTAGTACTGCCCCCTAGGAGGTATTAGAACAAACAAAAATAAAAACTCAATCAAGTAAACATTTAGAAAGCGTTTTAAATGTTTAAAAGTTTTAAAATGTAGAAGAAAGCTTGAAGCGCATTTTGGCTGCCCTGAAAATGTTTCACTTGAACGTGCTAGACGCGTTACGGATGACAAAGAGGTTAATGATATTTAAACACTTTTTAGGAGATGCCATCCTAAAAGAGCGTTTAAAGATAAACTGGTTTTATTTATTTTACAATGAATGAAGATCACAAAAACTATTATGCAAGCAATTATCTTATCTATCTCCTGATAAATCAAACAAAATTGCCTACATAATAGAAGAAATTCAAAAGAAGTTAACAGTTCTTAAGGGTTTTATGCACTCCCATAAAAGGTCCAAAATAACATCTCATTATTCATAAGTATAAAACGGAACTAAACGATAAAAGTACTTTTACCTACTTTCTAGAAGGCGCTTTAAAAGCATTAAATCTGATAATCTTAAAAAGCGTGCAAACTTGCTGAAGTTTTAATGATAACATAAATACATATGCAGCGAATATTATTAGTCAAATCAAATAATTTCAATTCATATTAACAATTGAATGCTTGTTACTTGCTCGATTTTGACAATGCAGGAGAGTACAGGTTAGCTCAAAATAGGGATGCCTTCACGCAGGGACCCACTAAGGGGAGAATGTTAAGAACACTGAACCCTGACAGTTCGACCGGGGTTAAATTCCAGGCGAACATGGCAGGTTTTCTGACTTTCTTCAAGTGTACCGTGAATATGAGACAGTTGCCCTTAGAAAGTCTTTCATGATGGTATATCTCTCCATTGACAGATAGCCCTCGAGTTGCTTATCTTAATTAATTAATGTAACCTTAATCTTTGTCAGGGACTTTTGGAAAGAAAGCGATTCATACTCATGTTATACATGTGGAAAAAAGGCTATGAAATCTGTTTATTCACTTATATGTAGATTTCACTATCCATTATCTAATGAGATGTTTAATGGGGTTATCTGCATAGCAGATGGCTGTAACAATATAATTAAATACAATATTTACTGGCAGTGGCGTAGCTAGGGTGGGGCAAGGGTGGACATCTGTCCCCGGGTGCAGTATCCAAGGGGTGGCAAATTGATGCTATGAAATTTTTTAATAAAATATTTTCCATTTCTGGCACACGAAAAGGGGCGCAAATTCTTCAGTTGTCCCCAGGCACTAGAAACTCTAGCTATGCCGCTGTTTACTGGCCTGAGGGAAGAAGTTTAAACATCAATTGGCAAAGTAAAATAGGGTTTTTTGCTAAAGGTAGTGATACTTTCGTGGAGGACTCCGAAGAACTGACTCACATTTAAGTTTTTCATGGGGAAACCCATGCAAAAGACCATACAGCTAGCTCATTCACCGAGACCTGAACCGAGCTATTTAAACGTGATAAACTCAGTGTTATATATTTCATTACACTAGGATCTTCTAAACACAGTTTCTTTTTTCCCCCAGTAATCTCAGTTCCATCATGCTCATTTGGCTACCTATATTCAAATAAATTATTAACATTGTCTTCAAAGACTTTATCTTTTTTAAAAGACTGATCAAAACATATTCCGTCTTCTGAATAGTCTGAATCAGTATAAGCAAATTTTCTTTTTCTAAATCTCTCAGAAACTTGTTAATTTAATCCTGACTGAGACCTTTGAAACGAGGTGCCATTACAGGAATTAAACAGTGCAAGGAAAAAGTTATCACTCTAAAATTATGAGATAATGCTCTAACGTTTGAGTAAGAAATAGCCTCTATTCGATTTTCAACTATAATGGCGTGAGATGAAACTTGCAGCTTTCGCCAAAATATAGCCAAACTGACAGGAAGCGGGAAACAATGTGCAGCCAGCGGCTACAGCAGTTGTACCAGGAAAAGTAATTTTCTCGGTTTCAGTACAACTGATGTACCATTGGCTTTAAAAAGTTAAAAGGATCACAAGTTGTATACAGGATGCCCCATGAACACTTGCACATATTCTGCACAGCCAGATTCCTCACTTGGAATGCATAAAAATAGCCAGAATACTGTACTTGTATGATCCATAGTTTTCAAGATAAACATAAAAGAAAAGTATGATGTCATATTCTTTACAAGAAAAAAGAACTTTCATTGGAAACATGACCATCGGTATTTGCACGTTTTCATAGGAAAATGTTCAAAATGTCAATCGCATACATCGAGACATGCATGCACACACTGTGGAATGGTTGAATACACGTACTGCAGCAGCGTGGTGTTCACCAAAGTACATGCAGCATGAAGACAAGCAACTAAGTCACCTGTGGTAAATAGGTATCAATGGCCAAATTCCTTCAGATGGCTTCATAGAAACCCAAAGATGTCAGATCTGGCCATAAAACTGGACCCCCCATTCAATTTAACAGCCTGGGTATTCCATATAAAGTACATGTTACAATATTTATGAATGGAATACATTATCACCATACAAAGATTATCAGTAGCTACTAACTTATCGGTAGTCTTTTAAAATACAATTCAAAAGAATGCTTGACATCATTCCACAATGTGCACATGCATGCTTTGATATGTGTGGTGGACATTTTGAACATCTTCCTACATAAACATATGCAAATACTGACGTTCATGGTTGCAATAAAGTTTCTTTTCCCCCTTGCACCAGATATGAAAAATGTTTTTTCAAAAACTACGGATCATACGGGTAGAGTACTGTGGGCATTTTTTATGCATTCCAAGTGAGGAATCTGGCTGTACAAAGTATGGAATGTCCTGTATATGTAATACTGTCACAGCTAAAAAAAAACTGAAATGACAATAACCTTCTGTTTATCATTCTTTTAAGCATGTATTTTTAAAGAAAGATTTTTTTTAAATTAGAAATATACACAGCATATACACACACATAAAATACACATAAAATATACCTCGCAGATACATACACTTCATATTAATTTCACAAATTAAATGATGTTGAAATTTCCTTTCGTCAAGAAAGAATTCTTATTACTACTAAAATTTTTGAACATTCAGAAATTTGCCAGAACTCACTTTCCTGAGCTTCTGCAGTACACTGAGTGATATAGGCATTCACAACTGCAGAATCCAAATCAGAACCAGGTTCACATTTTTGAAGTAAATTTCCTACATATCGTTCCTGAATCAAATGCAAAAAATGAGGTGTGATATATATATAACTGTAAAAATGCTAAAAACTTTATGGATGCAACAAATATTAACAGAAGACTAATTATTACCTGCATAGTAGTAAATATTCCTGCAGCTTTTCGTAGACATTTATGTACTTCTTTTGCTTCATCCATGTTTATCCTATAACATACATAAGAGTTAAAAAACATAATCCTTAGCCTCTTACTTGCTCTTAAAATATTAAACAGCCTTATCCCTTATTGTAACAGTAATAAAGTAAGTAAAACTGATTAAGTAAATGTTTAACCAAAGACAGACTTCTACAAGTTCTAATATAACACTATTAACCAGAAATGTATATTTGATATTCACTTTCACTGTCATACAGTTCTTGGTTCTTCATAAATCAACTTTCTCATTTTCTCTAGGGCATATTTTTATAGCAAAAATTTCGTCATGACTATAATAATTCATAATGGCAAAGCACAAGAATATCTTGGTCTGTACAGTAAAACTTCTAGAAAGCTGTTTCATATTTATGCTATACAAAAGGAAAAATAAGAGAAATCTCCAAGTAGCCAATCCGAAAGCATACAAATGTAAGCCAGACTGACTTCAGGGGTTTAGAAACACATTTATCACTGATAAGCCATACATGTCTATATACAGTTATCAGATTGCACACATTCAAAAAATGTATAAGGTGTGGCTATTAATATCCAGGACTGACGTCACATCGTGAAACCGATCACTCGCCCGAGAGAGGTGCTGCTGGTATCTGGAAAGTAGTACATCTGCACATGCTCCCCGCAGCATGCGTCAGTTGTAGACACGAGCTTAGCTGGGAAAGACGAGTAGAAAGGTATCTGGTGAAGTGTTGTTGTCGAAGTGTGAAGGTGCTGAAATGGAACAAAGGGTGAACATCAAATTCTGCCTTAAACTGGGCAAAAGTGCAACAGAAATGCATGCAATGTTGAGGCAGGTGTATGGTCAGCAAACATTATCCTGCTACCGCACATTTGAATGGTATGGACGTTTAAGGGACGGCCGCGAAAGTGTTGAAGATAAGCCCACACCGGAAGGCTGATTTCCGTGGATATGCTTGAAACAATTGAGAAGGTTCGCAAGCTTGTAACAGCGGATCGGCGACTGTTTGAATGCTGATGCAAGACCTAGGGAAACACAAGGTGTGTTCCAGATTTGTCAAACACTGTTTATCGGACAATCAGAAGCAAGTCAGAATGGACATGTGTGGTGAACTCATCGACAGCGCTGACGCTGACCCTGCTTTACTGGATTCGATAGTGACAGGTGATGAATCTTGGTGCTATCAATACGACCCTGAATCTAAGAGACAGAGCACAGAATGACAGTCTACCAGCACCCCTAAACAGAAAAAAATTCGATTTCAAAAATCATCATTTATTCATCATGAATTTGTCCCACCAGGCACTATTGTTACAAGACAATTTTATGCAGAAGTTCTTGCCTGACTGAAAGAATTCACAGAGTATGTCCCTGTTTTCGACAGAACATGAGTTGGTTTCTGTTGCATGACAACGCCCGCCCCTCTACTGCATTGCCAGTGAAGAGGTTTTGGGCCAAGCATTAGGTCGTGGAGCTGCATCATCCGTCATGCTCTCCTTGACTTGGCCCCTGCAGACTTCTTTTTGTTTCCCAAACTCAAAACTGTGATGAAAGGAATACGCTTTGTGGATGTTGAAGACATCCAGATGAATGTGGTGTGGACATTAAAGAGCCTTCCGAAAGAGGACTTTAAAAGTTGTTTCCACAACCTATACAGACGACAACAGAAGTGTATTATGGCAGATGGAGATTACTTCGAAACATATTAAAAGGTTATGTTTTTCACATCATCTATTCTGTTATTATTAGAACAGTCCTGGAAATTAATAGCCACACCTTGTATTATCTTTACAGTATTTTCAATATTTGAAGTACATTTAAAACATCCAAATTTTCATTAGCTTCAAATTCTTTAATTTTTTCCTCTCACAAAAGTATGCATTTTTTACAAACATCTCTTTTTAAGACTAGATATGCCATAAATGAAACCTTTAAACATAATGAATCATCAAAGCCATTCTGCCTCATGAGAAAGTATGTTTTTAAATGTACTTCTTCATGAGGTAGGAAACATGCAAAGGTTTATCTCATTATACTGAATCACATACAATTTTTTCATCTTTCTAGGTATTTAATCTTTAACTACATTTTAATTTTTCATTTCAGTCTTATTTTTAATATTTTAGACCAGTATTCTGAAACCTAGTTAGATTCTATTGATTTCTTAACATCAAATAAAAATTTTCTTACATGAAAAAATACTAAATAGCTATTTAGTAATAAAAAAATTACTAAATAGCTTGTCTTTCCCTTTAAATATGAGTTACACTCATGTCCATAAATTAAGGATAATTCTGAGTCATGCGGAAATCGAACTCTAAAATAAATATATCACCTGTAAAATCACTACACACATCTTCAAGAATCATATGCAAATTTCAGGAAGTAACCAGATAACACCGATGGTACGTCACAATGACGAGAGTGTAAGAGAGTGATATATAAGGAAGACAGGCAAAGAAGTAAAATTGTTTGCAGGCACTTTATAAGCATTTCAGAGCTATAACCGAATAGTTATGACACAAAGGACACATTTGGATGATTTTTTACGTGGTAGAATTATCAGCCGTCTGGAATGTGGGCGTACCCAACTGGAAGTATCAGACGAACTTGGAATTGCCCAGAGTGTCATCTCCAGGCTTTGGCAACGATTCCAAGATGATGGTAATGTGAGTAGACGTTACAGCACAGGTCGCCCCAGAGTTGCAACGCCGAATGAGGACCGGTATTTGGCAGTTACTGCGAAAACAAACAGGCGGAGCACAGCCTCAGACCTGTCTCGTCAGCTCTCTTCAGCCACTGGTACGACAATTTCAAGGCAGACCGTGTACAGACGCTAAGGGCAGATTGGTCTATATGCTCGTAGACCTGTCAGATGCGTTCCACTTACTGCAACTCACTGTCTCCTGCGGCTAGCCTGGAGTAGAGAACCTGCATTCTGGACACCCCAACAGTGGGCTTGTGTGATGTTTTCCGAGGAGTCCAGGTTTATTTCAGTCTGATTCTTGCCGGACTTTCATATGGAGAGTTCCAGGTACCCATTACCACCAAGAAAACATCATTGAACGACACCGTTACGGTGGTGCAGGAGTGCTCGTTTGCGGTGGAATTATTCTGGGTTCTAGAACTAAACTGCATGTTCAAATTGGAACCATGACAAGCCAAATCTATCAGGACGTCATTCTGGAACAACATCTATGTTTGTTTCGGGGCGCTATGGGCGCAAAATTTGTGTTTATGGATGATAACGCCCATCCTCACCGTGCAAGCATCGTAAGCGAATGCCTTCAATCGGAGGATATCACCCGTATGGACTGGCCAGCATTCTCACCGGACTTAAATCCAGTAGAGTACGTGTGGGACATGCTTGGCCGACGAGTTGCAGCCCGTCAACCTCCTGCTACATGTCTACCGGAACTTTGGAGAGCATTGCTCTTTGAGTGGTGTAATATCCCCCAAGATCAGATCGATAATTTGATACTCAGCATGCCTAGGCGTTGCACGGACTGTACTGCATCGTCTGGGAGACATACAATGTACTAACAATCATACCAACCATGTAATACTGATTTTTTGTAAATAGGTTTTTTTTTTTTTGTAATTTGCTCCAGGGAGCAAAAATCGCTAATTTTTTTAATAATATCAAACATATAGCATCTTTTTTGCTCTTTACCTTTTCTTTAATAAATAAACTTTACAAATAAGTCAAATTTGTTTTGCTTCTAACTCTTCCTTTGCCTGATTTTGCATTATCCTTAATTTATGGACACGTGTAGATAAACAAAATGCAAACATATAAATAAATATGTCCTTATTTCTACATGTTTCATAATAAGCCAGCATATTTCACAATAATTGAAACTTTTAAAGCTATTTTGAATTTAAAATACTGATCAATAGTTCAATTTTCAACAATGCAGATATTTGCACAGTAAAATATCACTCTAATGATAATAAAATATCACAGAATACTTACTCATCTTTACCAGCAATCATTGCAGCATGCTTCATAAACCAAATTCCAACATTTTGAGAAATTGAAATTAGTTCAAATACAGCATCTGTCTGTGCTCTAAACAGAAAATTAATCAATTAAAATTATAATATAAAACATCAAAGTTAATTACATTTACAAAGCATTAGAAGATATCTAAAACTTGATGAGATGAAAGTATGTTTTTATTACCTTACAATAATTACAGTACAACTGTGATTATTGACAATAAATTCAGATATGTAGATAATTCTCTAAAATTTGCTTGTGATTTACCATATAAAACTTTAAATTCACGACTGTATAACATTTAACATGTTTGTTTTAGAAGTCTATGTGTAATTTTCATGAACAATGCATTACATGTGAGTTGGCTCTATAAGCCAAATGTACTTATTGTAATGTATATAATTACTTAGTTGTATACTATTCTATTAATTATTAAATATCAACACTTAATTGAACTTTAAACTGCATTCTATGCAGTAAATCAAGTCATTTTTAAAAATTTAAGTTGAAAATATAAACTTCGACCTATCACTCCAGAATTTTATATTTTTTCTGAACTTAGATCAATTCTTTCATGCAAGTTTATCATTTTTCCTTTGCCAACAATTCAGTTGCTGCTGTCATACAGTGACAGCAGCTTATGATTTATCATAACATTTTCCCTACGTTCAGTAGTTCAACTTTCCTTGTGTCTAGTTAAAATATCCACAAATGATTATTTCAAAAGGGTATGCTGCCCAACCACATCTTTTAACTACAAATGCTTGTTGTGTATTAAAAAAGCGTGCCTGCAATTAATCCTATTGCAATTTGTGCTGAAATTTTTTTCATGAAACTTTAAGAAAATTAACTATGGAACTATATACAATAGATTAAAGTTTTTGGCTCAAATAAATTGGGTCAGATTAAATTGGATGGCTGAGGGTACTTAGGCAAAAGGAAGAAATATTCAAGATGTTTTCCCACAATATTGAGTTCATGCTTGATCCCAGTGTTGCTTCAAAGAAATCTAGAATTAGTACAAAAATAATTAAACTATATTTGACAAAAGGCAATAGAGCAGCAGGAGTAATTTTTCCCTGAACACTAGACTCAAGAATTTCTGATTTTGTATCTACGTTCAAAACTGTCAAAGAAAAATGGACGAATCTACACGAGTTACTTAACACGTTGACTGCCGCACACATTTGACATGGCTTGCCCATGACGCCAAGTTGAAATTTTTATTATGCGATATATATTACATTGAAATATTATCTACAGAAGATAATGCGAGTTATATAATTGTGCTTAATGCATTTTTTGTGGTGGGGGTTACCAGTGACCCCCAAGGTGCTGTAGACCATTATTGCGATTTATAATAAAAATTTTTACGATTTATTATTCTTCAAACCATTATAGTAATAATGGTACTATTTAAAAATTTGTCAATATGAATATTTACTCTAATTATGTATTTTACTATTGGTCATGTTGCCAGTCACCGGTGGCACCCATGGCGCTGTAGCCAAATCGAGGGCCAGTCACCAGTGACTCCCACGGCAGTCAACGTGTTAAATAGAAAAATATGAAAGCTCAGTATGCATGTCTATGGCAGTTCTCATCATTTGTATATGATCTTACAGGAAACACAGTAAACAGTAAATTTAGAGTGTCTTGCATCACAGATATGCAACTTCTTCATTAAGCCCAATGAACTTTTTGTTCTGAACAAACTTTTTGAAACACTATCAAATGCTTTTGAACCACCAAAAATGGATTGATGTGTATGACTAGAATAGCAGCAGACACTGAATGAACTAAATAGAGTTTGTTTCTAAAAGGCAAAGACCACCACAATCCTCCAGAAAAAATTCACTTGTGCTAATAGCCAAGCCTAATCTTCAGAAAAGTTAAAATTACAATTCAGGGAAAAACAGTGCAACAAAATCACAGAAAACTATAAATAAACAAGGCAACAATGGGCGTTTTCGTGGTTTTCCCCATGTGTAACATGTATACGAGACAGTTTCCCTTAGAAAATCCTCCACGAAGGCATCTCTCCCTTTAGACAGATAGCCCTCGTGTGCTTTGCCATAACTGAGTATTTTAAGAGTGAAAAGAGAAGACACATTTAAAAAAAAAGTACTAATATTATGCATGACAGAAAATGAAGATTTTATAGGTGAATGACTGAAATAAAGTGAAGATACACAGGTTTATACAACACTGAAGCTATGAAAAATACTACTACAGTCAAAAGTCGTTAATCCGGACTCGTCGGGACTTCAGCGATTCCGGATTATAGATCATCAGTTTAAATCTCGTAAGATGGCATGAAGAAATTCTAAAATTAAAAATATGAAACCGTAATTTATGAAATAAAGAACAATTATGATCTAAAGAGTATCAAAATTTACAAAAAAAAAAAAAAAAAAAAAAAAAAAAAAAAAAAAAAAAAAAAAGCTTAATATTTATTTGTTTACTTTATTAAACATTTCTTTCAATGTAAGTTGTTTAAGTTGCTTCGTTTTATGTGTGATAATACTTTCTCTTTATTCTATAAACAGACATAATTTCTTGTCATTTACAAAGTTCTGCAGTTCAAGTCCCGTAATGCTGTGTGCCGAGATACTGACTAACTTGTCAATAGAAATTTTTTCGTTTTCACTAACCTCTCTGTCACCTTCGTGTCTTTATCCATTTTTTGCAGCAATTCCACTTTTTGTTTGATGGACATCGAAACATACTTTCGTTTTGTAGATCCTTTGGGAGCTCCAGCATCGGAAATTCTATTTGACATAATCGAAAGTTCAAGTTTACTTTTATAAAATTGCTCCTACAGTCTGCAAAAAATAATAAGCTGGATCCAACTCGAAGATTAAGGAACAACGCAATCATCAACATTAACTGAAATAGATAATTAGATAATTTAAGCTTATACCGTCTATTATACATAAAACGCGCACGTGTAAACACCTATGCACATGTGTCAACGTGGCACATGCGCAGAAAGTTTTTAGCTTTGAGGTCCAGATTATAGATCATTCCGGATTATGGGTGTCCGAATTAACGACTTTTGACTGTATTAAAAAAGACTAAAAAAGACTGGCTTGAAATATTTACAATTGCTTTACAAATGCCTATCAGGTTCAGGTTGGAAGCAATTCAATGATCAAGGCATATGAGCATAATGCAATATTTGTAAAAAATGTCTGTATATGGCATCTGGATGAACTGCATCATGGAGAATATACTCTGTGTTCTAGATGCTTCACAAAATCTGTTTTCTATAAGGCTAGATCGCAGATCATAACTTGCAGTATATAACGCTTAATGTGATCACAGTTAATGTTATCAATTGGATATTGTTACCAAATTGTTGAAGTTCCACCCATTTGTAAACGAAAACACGGAAAATGCATCGTTCATTGTGATCAATAAGTTAATCGAACAATAACTTTGTTGAATTTAAATTTGTTTAATTTGATCAAAATATTTGAGAAGAATTTTTTTTTAACTGAAAGAAATTCACCAAATAATAACAAAATCAGCAACAGCGGTTGAAATACAGAATAAAAATTGCCAAATTACAGAGAAATGTCATTACATAAGGTATTAAGTCAACAAGCAGTCAGAGTTTGATTTAAGTCAACCATGTATAAAAAAAATAACTCTGAAGATCTACCTAAGTCACTGTGATCCAAATCAGTCAACACAGTTGTGCATATACTGAATTGTGCTGAAACAATAGTCGTTCAGGGAAAATCATGCTATGAATTGCTCTATGGCAAAAGACCATGATTTGATCCTCTGAGAATCATTGGCCTAGAGTGTTTTATATGTATACTTTTACAGAAGCTGAAGAAGAAAGACTCAAAAGACTGTAAAAGTTACCTAATTGTATATGTACATAATGTTGATGGTTATCATATGGTTCAGAGACATATGAAGTATAGAAAGAATCAGAGATGCCCTTCCTCTGATTTGGTCTTAATATCAATCTTTGTTGAAGTCAGAGCCCACCAGCAGCCGAGCGGTAAAGACGCAGAACACTGGTAGTTCAGTCCGAGGTTCGAATCCTGCGAACGGGCTAGCTGCATGGGCGTTTTCGTGGTTTTCCTCATGTGTAACATGCATACGAGACAGTTTCCCTTAGAAAGTCCTTCACGAAGGCATCCCTCCTTTAGGCAGATAGCCCTCGTGTGCTTTGCCATAATTGAGTAATCTAATCTAATTGTTGAAGTCAGACTAACAACTACCAACAGTAAAGTACTGAAGAATCGTGTTCAACAGACAACACTAGGAGCGAGTTTGATCCAGGTGAGGCAGGTGAAAATATACTGCATGTTTGAGAACTGAGAAATCAAAAAGAAATTAAACCATCTGATATGTGATTGAATCCTGCATTGAGGAGCCCACAAAACCAGACAATTACTACCAAGTTATAAAATCAGAGAATGTGAATAAGTGGCAGGATGCAATGGAGGATTAACTGAAATCTTTATAAGAGAATGAAACATAGAACCTGACACAACTGCCACAAGCAAAGTCATTGCAAATAAGCAGGTACATAATTAATAAAGGGAATTATTAAGTAATAGGATCACTGATAAAAGATCGTTTTGTACCAAAAGGTGTTCTTTGAAAAGAAGGTATTAATTATTGTGAAACATTTTGCTTTCCTGCTCAATTTCAAATCCCCTGCTCTGTTATACGCCTTTCTGCACATGAAAGAATAGACGTGGAAAAATTTGATGCTAAATCGGCATTTTTTCATCGAACATTACGTCAAGAACTTTAGATATAACAACCAGAAGGTTACAATGACAATTAAAGTTGAGTATGATGACTAATCAAAAGTCTCTATGGACTAAAGCAATCACCCAGATGTTAGAATAACACATTCAAGAAATTTCAAAAATTAAATATTTGACAGGGTTCATAGCCACATTTTAGTTAAAAAAAATAAGCACCTATAAGCACTTTTCAAGCACATTTTAAGAAAAAAAATAAGCACCTGTCTAATTACATCATCCACAACTGCATAACCTTAAAAATTAGAATTGTAATTTAAAATATGGGAAATG